ACCTGTTCAGATGGATGTCAAATATCCAAGATACTATTAGAAAAGAAAAGGGAGGTTTTCCTTGTTTTCTGGGCAACAATCCTCCAAACTGTTCACTAGGCTGCTTGTGTTTGCCAGATTTGTGCACAAATAGACAGTCACTACACTTTACAGCAATTCCCTGAGAAGCACTTTTGATGAACCATTTTGATGTTCTAGGTGTCATACCAAATACAAGATTTTTTTTGAAACACTGCTACTATTTCATGAATGTTAGTGAAGACAGAATTGAACAAATAGGTTGCATTATAGGATTACAATGGAGTCCTGCAGTTTAGTGGTCAGAGCACTTGCTTTGCAAATGATTCCCGGGCAGGGTGAAACGTTGGGCAAGTTTCCTTACTCCACACACCTCTGTTTACCTAGCACTAAGTAGAAACCCGGTTGTTAGTCGATTGGTGGATCGCTTTTCTGGGGTAATAGTCCCTTCAAAAATAATAAATAATAGTAATTTGGTTACTCAATCCATGACTGTTTGTGGGACAATGCTGTGTGCAATTGGCTGCCACATTTTGCCTGCAAATATAGTCAATTCACTTTACAGACTATTCTGTGAAGGCGCTTTGAGACGTCTAGAAGATGTGAAAAGCGTGATATCAAATGCAAGGATTATTATCATTATTTCCTTGCCCTACAGTATCTACATTTTTTCTTTCCATTTATAATTGTTTAGTGGCTTATCCTGTGAAGCACTTTGAGACATCTTCACAATGTGATCACAACAAATTGCATTTATTCAGCGCCTTTCAGGACGTCCCAAGGCTCTGGACAGTTGAGGTCCTGCACCAAAGCTGGGAGTTAGATTCAAGATGGGTGGGGGCAATGGGTTTGTGGTTGGGAAGATGACTGAAGGCGTGGTCAAAGAGGAAGGTCTTGAGACAGACCTTGAAGGAGAGGGGTTGAAGCGAAGGGACTCTGAATGGAGTTCCAGAGAGTGTGGGCAGACAGGCTTAAGGCCCGACCACCAATGGTAAATTGACTGTATATTTTGTGTTTGAAACATGGCAACAATAACATCTTGCACTTATATAGCCCCCTCCATGCAGGGTAGCATCTCAAAGCCCTTAACAGTGGCAGAACCTGACTCCGAGCCGGGGGGAGGGGCGAGGTCGACGAGGAAGGTTTTCAGCCGGGCCTTGAAGAAGGGGAGGGGGCAAGGCAGAGGGACTGAGGGAGAGTGTTCCAGAGTTTGGGAGTGTAGTGGCAGAAAGCGTGACCTCCCATGGTGGGGCGGAGGGTGCGAAGGATGAACAGGAGGCCAATGCTAGTCGAGCGGAGGTGCCTGGTAGCGGATTGGGGAGTGAGGAAGTCGGAGAGGTAGGGAGGTGCCAGAGAGTGAAGGGATTTGAACACGAGTGTGAGGATCTTGAAGGCAATCCGTTTGGTGATTGGGAGCCAGTGGAGCGGCAGCCAATTAATTGCACACACAGTGTCCCACAAACACTTGTGGTTTGAGTGACCAAATTATCATTATTATTTTTTTGAGGGATTATAACCCCTGGTTAACGATTCTCCTATCGATCGACTAACAACCAGGTTCCAACTTACTGCTAGGTAAACAGAGGCGTGCAGAATAAGGAAAGTTCTCTAACCTGGTTGCTGAGTCAGATAACATATACAATGCATTTAACATACACTCAATAGTTTCCAGATTACACTGAATCAGGACGTTGCAGAGGGAGAAACATGAAAATGAAATCCACTCAAAAACATAAAGGTTGTGGAATCCTGTAGCTCAGTGGTTAGAGCACTCTCCTTGCAAGCGAGACACTCGGGTTCAATTCCAGCCAGGGCGAAACCTTGGGCAAGTTTCCTTACTCCACACCCCTAATAATAATCCCTCCAAAACAAAACAATAATAAATTGGTCATTTTCAATCCACGACTGTTTGTGGGACACTGCTGTGTGTAATTGGCTGCTGCGTTTCGCCCACAAATATACAGTCAATTCACTTTACAGTATATTCTGTGAAGCGCTTTGAGACGTCTAGAAGACGTGAAAAGCGCTATATCAAAGGCAAGGATTATTATTATTATAAAAGCTAAGGGTTCTCTAAATATGGAGGTGGCAATGATTCATTGGTAATTTATTGTCTGTGGTTGTATCACTTTAATCTTAGCTGTAATGGGAAACCTTATTCCTACCATTTGTCTATGTGCAGCATTTCTTCCAACTTACATGAATTGCCATGTCTAAACCTTAACAAACTGCCAAGATCTTTCCTGATGATCTGAGCAGATATTAATGCTATTTGGAGAGGAGAGGTCGAATTGATCTTTCCAGCAATGAAGATTCTATGGGACAATGTTTCTTTCAAGTCCAGACTTATCACATTTAATGACTTCCTGAATAAGATTTTTTTTTATTGATATCTACACTGCAACATCTCACACATTCAATTGCAGGTGGCCAAAAGCAGAATAAAATAATAATAATAATAATAATCCTTGCATTTGATATAGCGCTTTTCACGTCGGGAGGACGTCCCAAAGCGCTTCACAGAACACACTGTAAAGTGAATTGACTGTATATTTGTGGGCGAACGTGGCAGCCAATTGCGCACAGCAATGTCCCACAAACAGTCGTAGATTGAAAATGACAACCATAAGATCAATGATTAATTTATCTGCAGGATTGTTGGCCAGGACTCCCCTTCTCATTGAGTCTGCTTGAATCTTTAGCGACCATTTGAAGAACAGGCATACAGGACTTACATTTAATGGTTCATCCAAAGTACTGCACCAAACAAGTAACCCAGGTATTGCACCCAAAGTAAAACCCCAATGATATGACACATTCCCAATACTGCACTAGAGCATCAGTCTAGGTTATGAATTCAAATCTCGGCATAGACCTTGAACCCACAAGGCTCTCACACAATGGTGAGAGTGCTGCCAAGTGAGCCCAGATAAGCAGTGTATGCAATTACACTTTTGGTACCAATTCTGAGGTCAGTGGTCCAACACCAGTGGAATTCAATGGCGATGAAAAGAATGGAGAGATTTTGTGATTTCTTGAAATAACTAGATTTTGTCTAGATTTAGATTCTAGATTTTGAGCAACAGACATCACAAACAGGATGACTCTGTCATGAAACCGTGTTTATAAACTCAGACTCATTGAAAATGAGGGGCGTGACAAAACGATTGCCTTCCAGGTCATCATGTCACAACTGACATTACTTGCTTCATGTTGCAGCTATCCTGTGTGCAAGAAGCATTGCTGATTTTGCTTCCTGTGTGCCCTGCATGAGCAAGAAGCAATTTTCTAGTAAGTACTTTCTGCACATGATACACATGTCTGAACATGCAACATGCGATGTCAGCAGTGAGCACATGACCTAGAAGGTGGACATTTTGTCAGCACTGGAAGCCAGGTGTACCAGGTTTCCACTATAGTGAGGGTCCACAATACAGTGGGCTCTAACTAGAGCATCTCACAATGTGGGTCACCTGGTGCTGTTAAAAACAGGTGTCAAACCTGCACAACAGAATTTCTTGGCAGATTTCAGCATCATTGTATTTATGCCTGAAATCCCTTTCTGGAGCTTAAGGGCACCACAATGTCAGTATGAGATACAGAATGAGAAACAGGAGAACAGCAATCAGAATGCCTTTCAGATAACATTTTAATTGGCTTTAAACACCATAATGATGTAATTTATCAATTTAACATGTTTAATATCCATTAGATATTAACTTGGCTCTATTTATGGCATTTTCACCTCCGGGTCGGAATGGTGGAGATTCAACCTTCATGTCACGGACTTGAGCTCAGTCTAGGCTGACACCTCAGTGAAGTACTGAGGTGAACTACAAGTTCCCCTACTCCACACACCTGTTTACCTAGCAGTAAGTAGGAACCCAGTTGTTGGTCAATCTGTGGATCGCTTTCTGGAAGAATAGCTTTCCCTTCAAAATAAATAAATAAATATAATAATTTGGTCACTCAACCCATGACTATTTGTAGGATACTGCTGTGCGTAATTGGCTGCTCTGTTTCTCCCACAAAATACACAGTCAATCTACCTTGCAGTATGTTCTGTGAAGCATTTTGAGATGTCTCAAGGATGTGGTAAGGCGCTATATCAAATGCAAGGATTATTAATAATAAAATAATAGACTGTAAAGTGAATGAACTATATTTGTGGGAGAAATGCGGCAGCCAATTGCGCACAGCAGTGTCCCACAAACAGTCGTGGATTGAAATGACCAATTTATTATTGTTTTTTTTGAGGGATTATTATCAGGCGTGTGGAGTAAGGAAACTTGCCCAAGGTTTCACCCTGACGGGAATCGAACCCAGGTCTCTCGCTTGCAAAGCAAGTGCTCTAACCACTGAGCTACAGGACTATTATTATTATCATTATTTTTGCTGCTTTGCATCAATTTGATTATAATGTCACTGAGGCCCAAACATAAATATTAACACCCTTTAGCAGACTGCCTCGTATAGCCTGAAGAATTGTGGCTGAGTGTCTTTTAAAAATGCCTTAACAAAAGTAGGACAGCAGATGAGCTTTCATCGATTGGTGCAAAAAAAGAGTATTGCTAAATAAAACCTTGGTAGAGTTTCAATTCCTCAATCCACATTTGTCAATTTTTACATGTTATCCAAGTTGCAAAAACACAGTGAACATGGAACATGCAAACAAAGAGCATTTGAAGTCGTGAGTTGTCCTTTGTGTTCGCAGATCTAACGTCACCTGGAAAAGTTGAAATGAAATCAACTTGATCAGAGTGCAAAATGTTTTTAGCCTAATTTAGATTATAATTTAGAGTTGGTGTATATGCAAAGTGTAGAGCCCCCCCCCCCCAAAAAAAGCACCTGTTTCTTTGAAAAGTTTGATCTGACAAGTTTTTGCTAAGTTCCAACAATGTTGAAGCTTCACAGGGTTTGAGCACAATCGCACCCAGTGCAGCTCTCAGTGCCTGAGGGGATTGCCTGGGAGGGGGTCTTACCTTGGAAGTAAATGCCCGATTGTATCTGCAGTATTCTCGGGAGGCTGGTGGGATCCACAGAGTCGATGAAGTTCTCCAGCGAGAGTGCCATGTCGGGTGCGCTGGAGAGGTTCCTGGCGCTTCTCAGCGAACCGGTGAAGGCAACTCCGAGCTGTTGTTTCCGCGGTCGCTCCGCATAGAGCGCAAATACGCACAAGTCCTGACCCTCCAAAGTGGAGAGAAATCCCTCCCCCACTTCCACACAAAGCCCCACCACCACCACCACCACCAGGAGCTCCAGCGAGATATTGCTCCTCACTGCTGCTGCTGCTGCTGATGTGGTTACAAATGGCCAAAGGAACCCACTCAGCCAAGGTGTGCAACAAGGTGCTGCTGGAGATCGCCGAGCAACATATGCACAGTGCTGGGCGGTAACTTCAGAAAGGAAGTCAAGCCTCATGCAACGTGTTGTGCAACCCTTCTCACAAAGCCTTTCCCTCTTAAAAAACAACAGGACTACCTGAGCCGACGGTATGACCCAACCCTCACCACCCACTGCGTGTATTGGAGGTGGGTGAGTACTGTATGAGGTGTGTCCAATACTCCATAACTGGGGCAGGTCCTTGCACATTTTTCAACACGAGTGGGGTCTAAAATACGATATTTTTATGGGGTTCCTTCACAATTCTATTAAGGGGTCGCTTTTATAACGGTAGATTGCATTGGTGCAGAGTGGGATGCACTTCCAGGAGTCTGCATTGCTCACAACTTTCGTTCCTTACCAAGGAATCCAGGTAAGAAACACCACAAATTAAACCTAATATCCACAATCCTGGGAATTGTCCTTGGAATTTACCTCCAACAACCTCAGAAACCTGCCATAATAATAATAATAATAATAATAATAATAATAGTTCTTGCATTTAATATTGTGCCTTATCACATCTTCTAGATGTCTCAAAGCGCTTCACAGAATATACTGTAAAGTGAATTGACTATGTTTTGTGGGTGAAACGGGGCAGCTAATTGCACACAGTAGAGTCCCACAAATAGTCGTGGATTTAGTGACCGGATTTTTTTTTTAAGGAATTATTACCCCCAGAAAAGCGATCCGCCAACAGCCGGATTCCTACTTACTGCTAGGTAAACAGAGGGGTGTCGAGTAAGGAAATGTGCACAACGTTTTGCCCTGCTGGGAATCGAACCTAGGTCCTCTCGCTTGTGAGGTGAATGTTCTTAACCACTGAGCTACAGGACTCCACAAGCTGTGTAAAATCTTCCAGCAGCATTAGAGCCAGAGTTCTAGGTTACAGTGATTGACCAGAAACTGTTGAAAGCTGATCATATTTATTTTGATAAACAGAAAATGAAATTAATGAATATTTCATGAGACATTTATGAGAATATGTTCTTGGGGGTGGGATGTCTGTGGGGGGTAGTGTGTGTGGGGGGTGAGGTGGCTGTGGAGGGTGAGTGGTCAGGGAGAGGGGATGGAAGAATTAATATTTTGGAGTTTCGGATCCTTATCTTTAAGGTTCAGTATGCATCAATTATAATATATTTTATGGCCCATGATTCAAAGGAATTGGATCTGATCACGTGGATAAGCAAACAGTGCAAATAATTGTAATACAATACATATTTATATAAAATTTACAGCACAATAGAAGATCATTCGGCCCATCAAATAGCGCCTTTCACGTCAGCAGGATGTCCCAATGGACTTGACACTGCTGACTGAACATCCTGCAAAATGGATGGAGTGTGAACTAAAAAAATGTTTCCATCAGGATTTAAACTTCATTATCACATTCTGCGTAACTGTGAAAAAAAAGTATGTTTTATGGGCCACTCTTGTTTCAGGCTTTTCATGTTTGTGAACCAATCCCTGCAGAATGTAACTTCTCACAGCACCAGGGAAACATTAAATCGCTTTGGGATGCTACCCCATGTGAAGGGTGCTATATAAATGCAAGTTGTTGTTGTAAATCAGCAGAAGTGCTATATTCTGGATGAGATGTTACACCAAAGTTCCATCTGCATGTTCAGGTGGACGTTACAGTCTTTCCCCTCCCCACCCCACTTGGCTCCCACCTCTAGCTTGGGCTCAAAACCATTATTGTTAAGCACCCTGGGAAGTCCTGCTCACATGAAAGACAACCGTATAAATGTAAATTTGTATTGTAGAGAAAAGACTCCTGCATTTCTGTGCCCTGTCACTGAGAAGATATGAAAATTCATCTAATTGATTTGCACAACCTGATGATCTGGGCCATCAGTGCTTAATAGATCCACATAAAGAATGTTAATATCTTGGGCAGCAAAATGATTTGTTGCTGTAAGTATTCAATGTAGAAGTGCCTTAGTACCATTTCCAGACTATAGGTTGAATCTACTGAATGTACCATCAGATACAATCTCTGGCAAGAATGTCCTTCAGCCAGCTGTACTGAATTAAGGATAACTGCTCTCTGCCTATTATATTATTGGATGACAAATTAATTGCTCCAGGTCATCCATCTCAATGTAATTAATTACATAAAAGAATGGCAAAAAGGAATTACAAAAGAAGTAATTATTTATACCTGGAGATGAGTTTCGTCCTTTTTATTCCTTCTCAACAATCCTTCTGGATACCCTTCCTTACCATCACTTAACAGCGTGGTGCCTCTTTCTTTCTCCTATCATGGCTACGGAATAAGTTTTGTATCTGAGGCACTCCAAATTAAATGCAGAAAGAAGAAACAAGATCATTGAGAGTATGTGGTCCATTGGTCTGAATTATTATGAATATTAATCAACTGTCTCTTATCTGTAGGGCTTTGTCCTTGTGAAGGTAATCAGTTATGTGCGGATTAGCGGAGAATATCTTTCCCAGATATGTAAAGTACCTTTGTCACCTGCCTGATTCCCCAAGGCCTTGGATGATGATTAGATTCTCAGGGAACATTACAAGCCTTTTGCTGGAGGGCCTTCTGCTTGTCCCTCAGGGGGAGCAAGCCACAGTCCCGTTGTTTAAATTACAGCTGATGATCTTATTTAACCTTAGAGCCTTTACAAAGGTGGGTAACATTGAGGGATATTTCTCCAGTCAAATAATTACAGAGCTTGGTAACGTGAGATAATTCTGACAGAGAACAGGACATCACCCATATTGTATTCTTCAACTAAAAGTCGGGTAGTTCCAGTGCTATTACAGTCTTGTGTCCTGCCAGCCCAATTTATTAAGCTATCCTGTGAGAAAGCCATTCAGTACAAACTAAGAGAAGCACCTTTCAGAGTAGTTTCCAATCTCTGTACACTCAAGAGAATTAACTGTACCCACAAAGCAATCTGTGGCATTCTGTGAATGGTTCTATATACGTTTATTGTAATAGTGCGCTCCGTAACTGCCAAATGGTGTATTGCGGGAGGCAAGTGAGTTCAAGGGGAGCTATATTCATCTGGCTGGTCATAAAATCTACATTGTTATAAAACGATAGGATTTCATGGTTGATGGGGCCTCTCAGCTTTCCCTTTATCTTTCATTCCTTTTACCTGATGATGGGGAGTCATACTGGGTTACAGGTTTATAGCAAAGGAAATACTCTGCTCAGGACAATCAGTGTTTCGGACCCAAGCTGAGGGGAATGGAGTTCCAGAGGATGGGGGCAGAATGGCTGAAGGCTTGCATGTCAATGGTGGGGCAGGTGAGGCAGGAGACATGAAGCAGGCCAGAGCCCGCTGAGCAGGGGGAGCGAGCAGGAGAGTAGGGGCTTAGAAGTTTGCAGAGGTAGGGGGGGAGGGCTTTGATGGTAAGGACCAGGATCTTGAATTGTATCCTGTGTGTGTGAAGTCAGTGGAGTCAGGCGAGGATGGGGTTGATATGGTCACGGAGCCTGGTGCGGAAGAGGACACAGACTACAGAGTTCTGGATGATCTGCAGCCTATGGAAAGAGGAGTTGGGGAGACTGACAAGCAGGGAGTTTGCATAGTCAAGCCTGGAAGTTATGAATATGTGTATGAGGGTTTCAGGAGCCTGTGCTGTGAATTAGTTGCAGAGCTGGGCGATGTTGCAGAGGTGGGGGAAGGCAGAGCGGTTCATGGCATGGATGTGAGGTAGAAAGGATAGTTGAGGGTCAAATAAGATGCCAAGGTTCCGGACTGGCTCAGTGAGGTGGAGTGTTATAATAATAATAATAATAATCCTTGCATTTGATATAGCGCTTTTCACGTCGGGAGGACGTCCCAAAGCGCTTCACAGAACACACTGTAAAGTGAATTGACTGTATATTTGTGGGCGAACGCAGCAGCCAATTGCGCACAGCAATGTCCCACAAACAGTCGTGGATTGAAAATGACCAATTTATTATTGTTTTTGGTTTTGGAGGGATTATTATTAGGAGTGTGGAGTAAGGAAACTTGCCCAAGGTTTCGCCCTGCCTGGAATTGAACTCTGGTCTCTCACTTGTAAAGCGAGTGCTCTAACCACTGAGCTACAGGACTCCACCATCCTTGGATGGTGATGCTGTCAGTGCCTGAGATGTGGAGGTGCTGATGGAAGCCAATTAGGAGAGCCTTGGTCTTATTGACTTTCAACTATAGAAAATTAGCTCTCATCCAGGGATTGATGTCTGACAGACATTCTGTCAGTGGTCCTGGAGTCGAGGGTGGAGGCAGAGAGGTAGAGTTGGGTGTCATCCACATACATGTGGAAATTGACCCCATTTCTGCAGATGATGTCACCAATAGGGAGCATATAGATATTGAAAAGGAAGAACAGAGCCCTGAGGAACACCGCACAAGATGGTGCTGTGGCTTTATGGAGATGAAGTGGAGATGATGTGAGAGGTAGGATCTGAACTATTCAAGGACAGAATCATGAAGGTTAAGGTGAGAGGAGAGGCTGTGGAGGAGGATAGAGTGGTAGCAGAGAGGTCAAGAAGGTTGAGGAGGTAGAGTCTAGTCGCAGATGGACAAAATGTCATTTGTCATTTTGATCAAAGCTGTTTCGGTGCTGTGGGTGGCACGGAAACACGAATGGAGAGGTTTGTGAAGGGAGTGGTGGGAGAGGAAAGAGCGAAGCTGAGAAGCAATGATTCGATCCAGGACCTTGGAAAAGAAAGGGAGGTTGGAGACGGGTAGTAATTTGAGAGCAAGGATGGGTCCAGGGAGGGTCTTTAAAGGGTAGGAGTGATGATGACCGTTTTTAATGGGGTGGGAATGGTGCCAGTGGACAAAAGAGGTTCAGATGAAGAAGAACGTCAGCAATCTTAGCATTCTCCTATTGCAGCCTTAAGTTGTT